CTCCCCAGCTACTCTGCGTACTAAAGTTGTACTACCAAGTCGCCAGTAGTACAACTTCCAGCTCCACAGCTACTCCGCGCACTAAAGTTGTACTACACAGTCGCCAGTTCTCAGCTTCCAGCTCCACAGATTGCTCCGCGTACTAAAGTTGTACTACAAAGTCACCAGTTCTCAGCTTCCAGCTTCCCAGCTACTCCGCGTACTACAGTTGTACTACAAAGTCGCCAGTGCTCATCTTCCAGCTCCCCAGATACTCCGCGCCCTCAAGTTGTACTACCCACTCGCCAGTTCTCATCTTCCCGCTCCCCAGCTACTCCGCGTACTACAGTCGTACTACCACGTCGCCAGTTCTCAGCTTCCAGCTCCCCAGCTACTCTGCGTACTAAAGTTGTACTACCAAGCAAGTCGCCAGTTCTCATCTTCCCACTCCCCAGCTACTCCGCGTACTACAGTCGTACGATCACGTCGCCAGTTCTCAGCTTCCAGCTCCCCAGCTCCTCCGCGCGCCTGTGTTTCGCGCACTCGACACGCACGATCTCCGCAGAGGGTCGCGCGGTGATTTCACAAAGCGCGCTCTCGCCTGCATTTCGCGCACTCGACACGCACGATCTTCGCAGAGGGTTGCGAGGGCAGCCGGCAAATCGCACTCTCGCCTGCATTTCGCGCACTCGACACGCACGATCTCCGCAGAGGGTTGCGCGCGCAGCCGGCAACTCGCACTCTCGCCTGCATTTCGCGCACTCGACACGCACGATCTCCGCAGAGGGTTGCGCGCGGACCGGACAAATCGCACTCTCGCCTGCACTTCGCGCACTCGACACGCACGATCTCCGCAGAGGGTTGCGCGGGCAGCCGGCAAATCGCACTCTCGTCTGCATTTCGCGCACTCGACACGCACGATCTCCGCAGAGGGTTGCGCGCGGACCGGACAAATCGCACTCTCGCCTGCATTTCGCACACTCGACACGCACGATCTCCGCAGAGGGTCGCGCGCACATGGGACGAATCGCGCTCTCGCCTGCATTTCGCGCACTCGACACGCACGATCTCCGCAGAGGGTCGCGCGCACATGGGACGAATCGCACTCTCACCTGGGCACTTCGCGCACTCGACACGCACGATCTCCGCAGAGGGTTGCACTTTCGGTTGACGCTGTTCATCCCACCCTCCGCCTTTAAGAGAGAATTTATAAAGTGGGGAAATGTTTTTCATTAGGACATCTCCCGTGCTAGTTTTCCATGCTCATCATTAGTGCTCATCATTAGGACATCTCTCGTGCTAGTTTTCCATACTCATCATCGCACTTGCATCATTACACTTGCATACTTTGACACTTGCATACTTAGCACTTGGATGCTTGCGCTCTTCCACTTACACTGGGGTACGTATAGCGTTCATGTTGTAGTGCAAGTGTGGTGGAAGTGTCAGTGTGTAAGTGTAAGTGTCGAAGTGTCAGTGTTCAAAGGATTTTCCGGAAGAACCCTTCGCAATGCTTTCGGGAAAAATTGTACACCAACACCTCACTATCAAGAAGCTGAGGCATCAACTCTCTCTTGAGCAAATTGATTCGAGCAAAGGGGCTGTCCTCGCATCCAGCGGAACAGGACTGTGCAACCGTCCAAGCTGGTGGACAACTTCCTTCCCCAAGTGTATACAAAAATGCAGGACTGGTGCGTAGAGATGTTTTTTGTCGAATCTAGGAACCAAGTGAATAGAAGCGTGAGCTATCTTGCGTCATAGCTAGCAGCCGGTTACCTATTAGATTGTTTTAAGTAGCCGCCTGCTTGATTAAGGCAAGCTTTCCAAAAAATGTAGGAACCAAATCATTAGTCGTTAGTGCGAGCGCTTCTTCAAGGAAGGGCGAGCTATCCTGCATACTAGTAGATTAAGCAGCTAGGAGCAAACAGTTTTGTCCCCTACTGAATTAACTAACTTGTTACTACTAGCTTCTTGTTACTACTAGTAAGGCACATGTTACTACTAGCGTGGCACTTGTTACTACTAGCTTCTTGTTACTACTATTGGCCTGCTCAATTAAGATAAAGTAAGGAGCCAGGGCCGAACGGGCTTCACAACACCCTCCGCTACGGGGAGCCCGACTCCACGAGGTCTTCGGGTCTCGCTGGGAACTGTCAGATGACCTCGGGAGATGTGGCGGACGTCAGCGCTACTCCAAGACGTGGTGTGCGAATGTCGATAGAGCTCTCAACTGGCACCTTCGCTTGGCCGCCGGGACCAGGTAGCCTTTGCTAAAGCACCTCAACAGCTTGCAAAGGCAGCGAAAGGAATTCAGAAGCAACAGGACAACAGTGATTCGGTTCGGTATTTTTTGTCTCTTCCACACATCCCTAGGATGACATTTATGCCCCACACCTGCCGAATGAGGCTTTGTGGCTGGTCGCGGCCTGGGAACCGGGCACCCAAAACAGTTTGAGCACTTTGTTATTCTGTGCATCTTCATGTTTGGACATTAGGTCAGCACACCAGGGATGCCAGACTTGTAAAGTTCTTGCTTTGTAGTATTGAGTATTGAGAGCTATTAGATTGGAGGCCATCGCTGACCATAGCATTGAGTATTGAGAGCTAGTGTATTGCTTCAGTTGTTTTCACACAGCTGGCATATAGCATTGCAGCTGCAAGATGGTGACACTGGGAAGGTCGTTCCAAGTGCTGTGCGCACGAGGTACTGGCGGCACCTGCAGAAGATGGGGGTTCTTACTTCGCACCAGGTCCAAGGCAAATTCCGTAGCGTCCTTGCTCCTAGTAGCTTCTTGCTCCTAGTAGTGGGGCCAGGAGCCCCTAGTAGCGTCCGGAAGTATATAGCAAACAAAAGTCCAGGTCTGGCAGGTAATCCAGGACTTTGTTTTCTTTAACTGTGCAACTGGCTAGTGTACTCCTGACATCCAGTTGTAAATAAAGTGGGGATAATTATCCTGTATCAAATACATTAATGTTAAAAGGAAGTAGACTCTGGGTCAGTCAGCCCGAAATCTACATGTTTTTTCTCCAAGCTGGCTGTGAATGCGTCTTGTCGGACAGCCTAACTCTAGACTTGTTGGATTACATCGACTGCAAAGGTCAGAAAAATGTGCAAAAGGCACAAAAGGCACATGTGTTTAATCTGCCAGAAAACAAGCCTCAAGAGTGGTCCCGGATACGTTGCGGAGAACTCGTCCCCCGAGTTCCGTCTCTCACCTTCGTATGTGCTGATTCCAAAGTTCGGTCTCGCCTGCACAGCCGCAAACCGCACAGACAGTGGCGTTTCTGTTCGTCTCCGGTTCTTCCGAACGTCTGAGAGGCCGGCTTTGGTAGCAATACATGGTTCAAGCGTGGGGGGGGCCTGGCAGTCTGGCATGAGTCAACAATCCTATAAAGGAAAAAGACTCACAAATACACCAAACAAAGCGAAGCTGGATGTCTGTCATTTCAGAACATGCAAGTGAGGTCTTAATCATCCCCAAATCACCGTTCTCATCCAGGTTTTATCAGATTGGGCCTTTGTCAGTGTGTAACAAACAAGTCAAACATGATCAAAAGATTTAACCACACAACACATGACATGCGAGGAAGAAAAAAGAGTACTATTTAGACATAGATACAAGGAAACAACATGAAACAACCACACCCGGCGGAATCGACCCGACTTGCCGTCTGTGTGAAAAACGCGTCGCCTACTCGTGTCACTTCGCCTTGGCAAAGGACATCTTGTCACGGACAGACCAGGTCCACAGCTTGCTGTCTTCTACGGGCGAAAATTCCGTATGTTTCATGATGTTCATGTGGTCTGTAGCCGCCGAACATTGCTGTTTCTGCTTGGTGCTAAATTCCAAGATGTGTTGCATTTCGATCCTTTGAAAGCTTCATTTTCTCTGTCACCTTGAGCTCAGAATGGAACGCCACCACGCTACAACTTATGCATCCACAGCACAAAGCCTCTTATCATCACATGTCCGGTAGTCTATGAAAACTGGATGCATCTTTCTGCAAGGAGATGTGCAAAGTAAAGGATCATCAAGTGCAAACATCACCGTGTTCAAGTCTGATGCAGTACCTGAAAACTGACGCTACAAGGTTTTGATTTGATGTCAATCAACATCTTGATTTTGGGCACTCAGACATTTTTGCCTCGCGAATCGCACGTTGTTTCTTCTTGCAGCTCTTCAAGGTCACCACCAATTCCACAAGCTCTGCCAAAGTCATGTTAAGTCAGGATCATCTCAATCTGGTCCTTCAAATCCTGTCGGCTGCGACTTGTCTAACATCTTGCAAAGGATATTATATCCTATTCGATACAGGAACGCAGCACATGTCCCTAGACTCAGATTGTATTGCACCGGCCTGAATCTGAGTATTCAGCTGGGAACCTTCCTTCGAAGTGATGGAGCAGGAAATCACCGGCCTGGGGACAAGCGGTGGAGTACAACCAATATCGCCTTCCTATTTTGCGGGAGATACTATCAAGACATTTGAGCAACTGGATGTCTTAGCCGTCCTTGACACGCCACATGCTCGCCCTAGAGCAGTCTTGGACTTCACGAAGACGTACGGCACGTTCTTGTCTTCGCACACCAAGGGCCTAATCAAAAGTAAAGTCTGCCGTGTACATGAACTTCTCTTTGGCGCTCTCCTTAATGAGCCCCAAAAACAAACTTGATCGACAAACCCAGGCACTGGGCACTTGAGACTCAAAATCACCAGAAATGTATCTAAAATCTAACACAACTTGTTGGTTTCCCTTAGTGGCAAAAAAATTAGGTTCTTCCAAAGCAGAAGAGCAGAGGTGCCGAGGCTACGAACAGGGGGGGAAGTCGCAAGTTAACTTTCTGCAGGGATAACTGCGTGAATTCCCCAAGTAAAATATTCCCATGGCCGCCTTGGCCAGCTCCAAACTATGAGATTTTCTCCCTTTTTGCAGGACGCTCCAACACTTGGGTTGGAGGCCCTACCATCTTGATTGTGGGAACCTCTTGGCACCTGGCAATCAGCAAGAGCTCTGTTAAGTTTCCCTAAAAATCTAGGAACCAAGTCATTAGTGCAAGGAAGCGTGAATTGTCCTCCGTACATATGTAGTAGCGTCCAGTAGCTAGTAGCTTGCTTCTCCCTTGCCTGATTAGGTAGGTGCCTATTTAACTAGATAAGGAGGCAGGGTCACTCGTGCTTTAAAACACACATCTTTCACCTCTTCACCCTTGTTCCAAGGGCTCCGGGCAGGTGAAGCAAGATCTCTAGGGGCTCCGCATCCGCGGCCAGGATCACCAACTCAGCAGTTCCTCTTGCGGCCAAGCGTGGATCTGGCAGCTATGGTGGTGAGACTGCTTTGTCTGCAAATAGGAGGAAACTGATCAATCCCCGAAACACTCTCAGTTGGTCAAGCAAGACAAAATCAATGGATTGAGAATCCCCAGGTGTTTTTGTATTCAAATACACTCACAAATGCACTCCAGTTGCATACACCTTGCGCTTGCGGCTGTGCTCCTCGGTTCAAAGTCTTGGTGGCCTCGTTTGCCCCCTTCTTCAACTGCTTATAGTTGGCTGCTTGTTGCCTTAAAGGCAGGCAAGCTCGAGCTTGTTTGCAATGGACATGGGCTGCACGTGTCCAGCAATGTCTTATGACACAAAGAGCCTGGTTGGTGGTATGCACGAAAACAATTGAAAACAGCAGGCAGTGTTCGATCTTTGTCATACAGGCACCCGTGTTGGAGGCCGAGTTGCACCAAGTCCAAGATGGTCACGGTAAGGGCTTCCTGCAAATTGATTTTAGCCCTCACATTTTCTCTTAGACCTTTACCGTGTGTTCAAACAATATTAATATATATATATACACATCCATCGTATACTTTCGCGAATATATGTAAATGCGTTGCTTGCAGTAATACTTTGCGCAAGTAGGCGTGTGTCTTACGATCAACGACGGTCCCTGCCTTGGCCAAAGGGTAAGCCTGCAGAATGGTGGGTGGCGAACGATCTTTGCCGTTCAGCTGTCTAGATGTTACAGAGAGCAATAAACCATATCAAGAGGAATGAAAAAAGGCAAACAAGCTTTGACAAACCTCAGCTCCGATTCAGTTTCGATATTTTATGAAATCATTGACCAGCGTGTCGAATGGCACAGACGCTCTTTTGGAGAAGCAGCTCCCACCTTGGGGTTCACTTCTTCCTCCTCTGCCATTGTCTACCGTCCGCACTGTGACCGATACACTGACGGACAGGGCCAAATGTCTGCGGTACACTTCATCCCGGACACCGACGACTCGTTACCGCCATCCACGACTCGACGACCGATCTCACGGCCTAGCAGCGAACGTTTGCCTCGCACGGTGAAACGAAATGACGCAGCCTATTCCCAACTGGCTAGATCTGCTTGTGGCAATTAGATGCAACTAGCAAATCACAACACCTCACCTTCACAAGAATACATCCAGGACAGGGACGTCGGTGATGTTGCACCGAACAGAAATGTTTCTCTTTGGAAACGGGCAGAGGCTACCAGCAAGTTCAATTGGGTCGGCCAAGCTGGACAACACGGCATTGATCATTGTCTCAAGGAAAACGTGTTGAAATGGAAATGTTGGAATGACAGTTACATGCACCTGCACATTCAGCCACGTTTGTCCGATGGCAAAAAGGACTGGTGCTTATTCTATGAACTTTGTTTGCCTGGCACCAGCATCTATTCATCTTCGGTTTGCAATTGCCCCCATTGAACCTTTAGCATTCGAGCATCAAGCACGGCGTAGAACCAAACTAAACAAAACTACACTTCTACATCTGTTGTATGATTCTATTCCATAGAGGAAGAAGAAGATAGAAAAAGCAGGCCAAACTCTTCTAAAATGACCCTTCCAGGCTTCAAACGTCTAAACCTTGCCGAGCGTCGTCCCCTGGGGCGACCAGGGCCCGGAAGTCGGACCGCCGCAGGTGCCTCGGTTTCGAACCCGTGGAAGACGGACAGATCGGTCAGTCGCGAATGGAAATGCTTTGCTTGTGCTTTTTTGTGCTCTGAATTTCCAAAGCACAAACATCTGGCAGTTCTTTTGGGAAGGCTTTGACCGAGATGCCGTGTTGCCGTGCACACGCAGTGCTCGAGCAGCTTGTGCGGCCGAAATGTGTGACGCTGCCATCACACGTGCCCCTGAGGCCTTAAGCATGGTCCAACCACAAACCAACCAGTGATGTATTTATATAATAGTATCTATGTGTGTATATATATATATATATTGATATATTTCTATTTGTTTAAGATCTAGTTCTTTTTGTTTAAGATCTATTTATCTATTTAATACGGCATGTTTGCTCGGGCAGGGATTCACTGCTGTATGACTGTATGATGGAATGCACCTGCACAACGACAATTTATGCCAAATCCACTTCTGAACGATTGCAAATGCCCAACCCACGTCTGTCCCATGTATCGCCACAGCTATGCCATTCCGAGCCTAATTCGATCACGATTAAAGTTGTTTTTTGTGTGTGATCTCTGCCGAAGTTGCTCTGGTGTTACTTGGGCGAGGTGGGGCAGGTGGCTCCTGAGAGGTCAAATCTGAACCCAATGGAATCCTTAAGAGACAATCTGTGCAGAAAATACTGTGTTATCTAATTGTCCAGAAATACATTGAACAATGATTTGGTCCAACAGACCTTCCTCAAGCCTTCAAACCTGTGACCTATTTCGCTCACTCGCTCCTCCTCGGCTTGAGTGGAGCTGACCTTGCGTCGGCCAACGCAAAGGAGAGCACACCATATAATAAGGGCAATCAGTGTACTGTCCAATGAGACTCTTCATTGCACAGAACCAAAGCATCCATATGTGCACATATAATATACTATGTGTATCTTATGATGCATACAACCGACATCTACCAGGTGGACGGCAAACAGAGCGAGATTGGAGAACCAGCCTCCAAAGAGCTGCTCCGCGGCACGCCAGGCATAGCAGAGCCTGAAAGGGGTCAGCGTCAAGCTATATCCCTTTGGTGTCCTTTTGGCCTCTCAGCGGCCTGCAGTTCTCTCAATGTCGTGATAATTTTTAGAGACTTGTGTAGCCGGAAGGACTCCCTAGCTGGGGCACAATGAACCATCGGATCTTGGCTTATCTTGCAGGCACATTGTTCCCCAGACAGGATGGTCCAGGATCAGCCAAATAGTAGCAGACTGAGAAACAAAGACATTATGGAAGACAACTCATCAAAGCACGACAATAAGTAACAATGTCTTGTGCCTGCTGTTGGCTCAGACTTCTGCTCCTGCTTTAGGATGGCAATGCATGCCTGAGAAATGGAGCTTGAGTGACATGGCAGCAGATTGCATTCTGGCAACTCTTCAGATTGCCGAGATACATCAGCGGCTTCTGGCGTCAGGCCCCGCAAAGGATGCGTCTGCACCTTGTAGCGTCATGAGCTGCCATTCCCATCAAGATCAACCAACCTTTCACGCAGTCCCAAGCCTTCTTTACCCTCTGCACTCAGGTAGCAGAACCAGATCTAACAACTTGTACAAGGGACAACAAGCGTTGGACAGGTCAGATTAGCAGAAGTTTCTCGTATTGCCTCCCAAGAATAAGTTTCTGGTTTTGTGCGAAGCATCCCACAAATATGCTCTCCCTCAGGGGGGTGCATTTTCAGTCCACAAACACTCTTCAGTGGAGTCTGATGACCTCCAAAATCAAATGTGTGGCCTGCGTTGCCATTTCAACACAATCGAAACCAGGTCCGAGGAGCAAAATGCCCTCGCAAAAAGCGGCCGTTCTGCTCTGCCAGAAGCTCTCTGTCATCAATGGCCACCTGAAAAAGAAAAGAAACACGTATATAATTATATATTTCTTACACTATATATATATATTAAAATGTGTCTTTCAAAATAAAACCAATGCTTTGGGAATCTGTGGACATGAGCTTCTTGAGTACTGTCAACAATTGATACCAAGCCTTGGCAGCTTGAAAGCATAACACAACGCAACACTCTGAGTAGCAAACCCAGTTTTCCAGCTTTTGAACTCCAGGTGTCCTTTGACAGCTCAAATGGCTTGAATGGAGGCGTGAGCAGGTGGTGTTCAAAAGTGTTCAACCAAAGACTCAAAATCTCCTGAGGTAGTCTCTCTTCCACTCCAAGATCTCAGTGGGTCTCTGAGCCAAATATGGGCTCTTGCCTCACACGCTTGTGCATTATCATCACCCTGAAGCATCTGTGCGTTTGCAGGTTGTGAGCTTGTCAAATCAAATCCTTTGGCCCAAGAACTGAGTGAAGTCAACCAAACGTATTCAATGAACATCGTTTCTGGCCTTTTGGTTCCACCAGACCGTTGCATGCAAAAAACCGTCGATCGAAAATGGGAAGTTTGCAAACATTAGCCAAGGCGGCCAAGGCACAGGGGGTGCAACCAATGAGCTCCAAGCCCAATGAAGAAAGCACTTGTTGTGCCTCTGCTCGTGCCTCTGGGTGCCGGCCTCATTCAAACTAGGGTGCCCTTAATCTTCGCCCTCTTTCCATGACATTTTGACCTAGGACCTAGGAATGTCTGCTGCTGGGATGCGCCAATCACTGGAGAGTACTATCTTTGCTCCAGTTTCTCTGGCGACCTAAGCACTGCAGAAGGACATTCGCGAAGACGTCAAAGCAAATCAAGACATGATCTTGATGAAAAAGTCCCATGCCGCTTATGCTCCTGCTTAAACTTGGCATAGCTTGTGTCCCCAAGATGCTGACTCGCGCAAGATTTTGCAAAAGCTTCCTGCACGAATCTTCCACAGCAAAGCAATGTAAAGTATTAAACAAAGTGGAGAAGAGTGTCTCTTTGAGTACTTTGAATCATATGATATCATATGAGAAGGCCATCTGAATCTCAAAGCCGAGCGTCTCTTCCATGACGCATGGCCGACGGGTCACCAAGACCCCATCAATGTCCAGGAAAATCAAACGCATCCCATGGCACGACCCCCCCGGGCCCAGTGGTCAAGTTTCTGGAACGTGGAAAATCAGTCGTCTAATCCTGAGGCTTCTTGCTCCTAGTAGTGAGGCCAGGAGCCCCTAGTAGCGTTCTTGTTCCTAGTAGCGATGCCCTTTGCTCCTAGTAGCGTCCTACCTTCAGTATGAAAGCAATACAAAAACCAACTGCAAACTTAATCGTCACTCTCATCGTGGGCCCAATCCTGGGGCATGTCTGCTCCTTCCAGTCTGGATTCACTGGATTGTTAACATTGCCTTAAGTTGCCAACCTGGTGCAAGGAGTGTGCAAGGCTTGTCTGATAGAACTTGTCTCAAATGGCAATGTCGTTCTTTCAATCACTTGGCAACTACTTCGTCAAGTGATTTCAGTCTTCATCGTCCTGAGAGGCTCAAAAGACTTGTCCTCGCTGTGGCCACCCACATTGCATAGGGTTAGAAGCATGTCTCTGCAAAGCCGGTCACACTTGATTGTGATTCGTCTCTGGTTTCTGCTGCAACAGGTCCGCTTGGCTCAAAGCCGTGTCACGCCCAAGTGGATTTTTGACCCTGCAAATCTTCACCGAATTCTCTGACTATGGCTCTTCTTGCAATGTGAGAAGACTGATGCAACTAACTTGATTTATCGGCATTGTCTTCTTGACTGTGCAAATTCGCAAGTCCTTGCAAAGTTGCCTCCATCGCAGCAGAGGTACATCTGAATGCGGCCGCATTCAAAAACAACACTCGATACCAGCCTAAGGCTGGCAACACCTTAGATGAGTATGTAATAAGTAATAAGTGTTTCTCTTGTCTAGGCCATCTCTCAACAAAGTTCACCAAATGCCATCTGGTGGCAACTTCAAAGCTTTGACCTCTTTCAAAAACACTGCAAAATGGACAAATGACTCCTGCCGCATTGAGAGAACATCAACCAAAGATCTCAATGATCTCCGACTCGTCCGTCATCGATCCTGGTCGGTATGGTCTCAACATCGTGACGGATCTGCACGCTAGTCAGGCCTCGTAAGGGCTTACGGATTGTCAAGGCAACTCTCCCTGGCTCGCCCTCCTTGAGGCACGATCCCAAACCAAGACCAACCTCAAGCACGGGCAAAGATTGGAGTGATTTAGTCTCCAAAGCGACAAAATGAATCGTAAGGAGACTAAATCCTCAGAAAGGTTGCAATCGTTTGCTTTCAGAGTCCTGCAATCGGCCCAGATCATCTTGCTCCACTGCTCGAGATGCTTCTGTTCGAAGATGGAGCCTACGGTTGTTTGAATCCTGTTTCTTCTTCTAAGCGGCTTCCAAACAGGATTCTGGATGGTCTTTTTAGTTGATTCCCCAGGTGACTGCTTTGCTAGACCGGTGATGACGGTCAATGGCGCGAAACAATCCCTGAGTTCTCACGTAGGCCTCGCGTCTCTCCCTCTCTCTCGCTCAGCACTTGACGATGGGTGCGGCTCTGCCAGTAGCAAGCGACCCTGGGTGTCCCATTCCACCTGACAAAGCTTGCAAACAAAAAACACAAGCCAACCCAGTTGGTGGTTTCAACTCACTTGAAAAGTATTATATATGTATAATATAGACAGTGGATTCAATCATCCCAAGTAACGGTTGAAAACAAATATCCGCAACCACCACCTAGTACTATAAGAAGAGGTATTCAATTTTGAGAGCTGGCAAAAGTTATCTACAAAAGTCGAGTGAAACCTCTTGAGAGTTGGGAGAAAGACATCCAGGCATCTTGTGCACCAGCCTTCACTGAGAAACGAGGATCATCCAGTCTGCGCGCGTGGCAATGTGGCGGGCTCAGAAATCAACGGGCTGTGTCAGAAAGAGCAACAACAACAACAACAACAACAACAACGAGAAACATGCGCACCTTTTCCTTTACAACAGAGTTCCATTTATTCCATTTGTTGACATTGTCATTTTTGCAACAAGCTGTCCCTCTGTTTCCATTTGTTGACTAGGATCCCGGATGCCTCTGGCCCAGCGTGACCACATCATCTTGCAGCTCAATCCTCACTAGCACACGAAAACGTAGAGAAAGTCTTTTAGCTCCTTGTGGCGGACATGTTCCAAAAATGTCTCACTTGGAGTCTCCAGACGTGTTATCTTTTCCGCTGTTATTTTTTGCTTGCTCCTACTTAATCAAGTAGGCACCTACTTAATTAGGTTAAGTAAGGGAGTAAGCTACTAGCTACTTAAGCTACTACACATGGACACAGGATAGCTCACGCTCGCACTAATGATTTGTTTGGTTCGATTTTTTGGGAAACTTAACTTGCTGGAGCAACTGGCGAGGAAAGCGGCAACTGGCGCAAAGTCGCTTCCCTCGGTCCTTGGCAATCCCAGCTGCTCTTCAAAGTCCATCAAGCTCTTCAAGCGCTGCACCTGGCGGCTTTGACGATGGCCTCCAACCCAAAAGCAATGGCCTCCACCTAATTAATAGCGATGGCCTCCAATTCTTTCTTTGTTTCGGCATACCAATCATTCTTTGTTTCGACACGGAAAGCCTTTGTTCCCTCAAATCTCAGAGACACAACATCCCGTCAAAACATCACAGTTTGATTTTTGACACGAATGTATTCCGCCTCTGCTTCCTCCGCCTCCGCCATTTCCAAGAGCTGTGACAGGGCTGCCTGGAATCAATTGAGTGGCCATTGTCTTCGTTGCCTCAACAAATCTGAACAAAACCACTAGAGAAGGAGGCCTCCTCTTCTTCAAATGCCTTGGCCCTACGCTTGGCCTCAGGTGAAGTGCTGAGAATGGATGTTGTAATGCGATACAACAAGGACTCCAAAGGGGGACCCCTCAACCATGGGTCCACGAATGTTTCTTTCCACAAGGGCAGGATGTGAATGACTGTGATTGAGACACACCAATTCTCCAGGTGCCTTGAAGAATATATATACTGTCATCAATCTATGACCCCCACCTCGTGATCGTCTTCCGAATCCTGCAACAAATTCAGAGGTCCAACACTTCATTGGCCTTCACTGCAAAAATTGCAAGCGTTGACAAAACAATATGAGGCGCTTTCCTCCTGAATCTTTGTGAGCTCTTCCAACCCTTTCTCACACAACCTAGGCGAACGGAAATCAACTTGCCATATGCCTTACTTTAGTCTGCATGAGGCAATTCTGCATGCGACTGAGTTCGATCCAAGCTGTGTGGTTGGAGATTGCAGCTTGCGACTGGGTAGCTGATGGAGTCGGCCAGCCTCCTCCTTTGTCCGTGTCAGCTCCTGTCCGGCTGAGTATGAGCTACCACCAATGAAGCCGCAATTGCTCTGTGAACCTGTTGAAAGCCTTCCATGACTCTAGGTCACTACCGGTACTGGAAACTTGGTCATCAGACAAAGACAGGACATGGCAAAACTCGGTGGCAAAAGATGGATACTGCCTGGCACAAGTGGAGATGAGATTCCAGCTCATTTGCCATCTCTTGTGAGAGTTCCTCCAACAGCCCAGTGAGCAGCATGTCGCATTCTTTTCTCGTCGGATCCACACGGAAACGAAAAGTAAGAAACCAGCAACCAGCAACAAAAGCACAAAAACGTGTTCTGCCTCTATAGTACGACTCTATGCTGAGAGAGAGAGGGAGAAAGGGAGATGTAATACGTATGTATTTATGGGTTTATGTTGTTTCTATACCAATCCAGTCTGAAGTGTCAACCAACCACCTGTTGTGACAAGGAGGTTTTAGAATCCAATCTCAGCCCGTCAGAAAATCAAACTGGGAGGTCCTTGCCTCAGCCTGATGCGTGGACCGAGATAATCTTGACGCCACTGCTGCATCTCGGATGAGTTGATGACCGGTGAAATAGTATAAAAAGGCTGATGTTGTTGTCAGGGCGATGCAGAACTTCCACATTGTTGCTCGGTGCAGGAGCATGTAGATTTGAACTTGGAATCAAAGTACACATCTCTCGCTATGACGAGTAGACACCACACATCGCCACACACACTAGAACTTGGCCAAAGGATCCAAATTTTGGGCTTCACCGGGTGGAAAAGTGTGGAAACGCTAGTCGATTGACCTGCTCAAATCGTGACAATGAGCAATTGACTGCTAAAAACCACCCTGTGCCACTCCAAATCGAACTAACAATCTGTGATCATGGCTGTTCCGCTTTCGAGCACCCGAGAACTGACCGGAACCACGACAAAGCCAGTGCCTGGAATGGCCTGAAGCTCTTGAAAATGGCGCTGCGCCTGCAAACACCAACGTGGTACTGAGCTTACATGCACAAAAATCCCAAAACCTGCTGGGTTGCCAGCTGTAACTCTAGATGCCAAAGAGTCGCCTCCACACACAAGAGCAGAAAGATCTTCTCTTTCAGTTCCTGAAGGCCGTCCTTCTCCTTGTCAATTGCGTTTTGCGGGTCCTTTGCATAAAACCAACTTTGCTAAGCAACACTGTCTAGGTTCTTCGTCCTAGGTCAAGTATGGCTTCATTTTGTGTCTTTTCTTTCAGGCTTGCTATTGCGTCAGAAGTGCAAGACTGCAAGACTTTCACTTTGCCAACTGCAGTATCTTCAGCGCAGTGATTGCACAGGTGCCTTCATTGCTACATCAAGAGCGTGGTGCTCAGGGGCGCTGTGCAAAGACAACGATGGTGACCTCATGCTTCGGAGCTCAGTGGGAGAGAGGTCTTACATCCATCCACAAATCCCTTCTGAGCCAAAGCGAATCTCACCGTAACGTACCCAAACCACGGGCAACTCCATTGCTCTCACAAACTTTGGACCTGCCTCGGCGCTAAAGCATGCTGCGTCCAAGCCATCTCACGCGCTGATGCCAGCAATAAAGAATCTCGCTGCTTCACGAGCCCGAACAGAAGCAGCTGCGAGGAATATCTAGTAACAAGTGCCTTACTAGTAGTAACAAGAAGCTACTAGTAACATTCTATTTGTGTTCCGTCCTCCGGAGCTACAAACAGAATATGATTCTCAGTTTGGTCTGCCAATCCCGACGAAAAGGTCAGACTTTGTGCATTTGAGGGGCGGCAAAAAGCAACCGGTTCAGGCTCTACTTTCCGATGGTGACGCCCGGGTGGAAAAACTACAGCACGTGTAACCGTCAAATGAAAGCAGCGAATCGCGCAGCGCAAGAAGGTCTTTGTACAACCATGAAGCACGGAAAGCATCCTGCTGTGGGCGAAAACTGTTCAAATTAAAGTTTGGAGTAATTGAATTAGCATCACGCTGCAGTATCTCTTTGGCAGCGAGAATGTCGTACGACATGCAAAGTGCAGCAATAGCTGCACGCTCTCCATCGAAGCCATACTCAGCTTCAGACTTGGAAAACAACAGCAAGCGACAGGTTTCTTTGATCACTTAGGACTGTTCTTTCTGGTCTTTCCTCTCTAATCGTACGCATCTGCGAACGGTGTTGCAGAGGAATCCCTCGGCTCTGGCTCCAATACCGGCGGTGCTGGTGGTTCAGGTGGTTCAGGAGGTTCGGGGGCAGGCGGTTCTGGCACATGTGGCTCTTCCTGAACACCTGGGCTTCCGTCTCTACCGGAAACCTGCAACTGGAATCCTTGGCCTAGGGCAGAGTGAGTTGAGACCAAAATAATTTGCGATAGGATAACAACTGACAAACATAGGAAAACGGACCTCCTTCATGAAATGACTGCTGGCATTGCCGAAAGTGTGTCTTTTCAAGAGTTGGGCCAACATGTTTGGCTGAAAAACTAAAACTACAGATGCACGTGTGTCAAATCCGCAGCTGTACCCCTGGTGGCATCCAAGAAGCTTAAACCATGCAGGCTCGGTAAGAACACTTCCTCACCTGTGAGACATCAAGCTCATTCAAGTGTTCCAGAACAAAGTTCCATGACTTAGTTGACACAGGAGGTCTTTTTCTAGGAAAGCCCTGAGGTTTATTTGTTTTTAAGGTGAGACATGTTCGGCCTGGAGGCAGCGGTGGTGGACGAGGTGTGGCTGGTGCCACGAACGGTGCTTCCCAGTTCGTCAGTAGTATTGGTCCGTCCTGGTGTGACGACAAACCGACGAAAGGATGGGTGAGGCCTCGGGGCATCGAAGAAGCCCAAGATCCGTTCGTGTTTTTTCCGCGGAGAAGAGACTGATCCTTGGCAACATGAAAGTGCATGAAACAGTGGACATTCCCCAACTCTCCGCCGGATATATCCTCCTCTTCCGTCTCCAAGCGAGGATCATGACCAGGTCGACCTGAATTTTATTGATCTTAATAGCGATGGCCTCCAACCTACTAGCGATGGCCTGCAACCTAATAGCCATGGCCTCCAACCTAATAGCGATGGCCTGCCCCGGTTCATACAACAAGAACCAAGTGGCCCAAGCAAAGTGCCCAATCGTAGGTAGGTGTTCGAGGAAGAAGTCGACGTTGGACAGATGCAGGAGACCTACAACTATGAAAACAAACTGCGGTACCAGTCTACTGGTCGGCTGAAAAGAAGTAGACGCTTCAAGACAAATGCGTTCGGTCGTCCAATACAAATAGCTTCATCCAAAATGGAATTGGCTTTGAGGGAACACCGTTTGAATAATCAAAACAGAATTTGTCACAGCGAAGCTTGTGAGCTCGCGATACCATGTGAAGAGTTGCTTTCGCTCGCACAATCAATGCACTTTTCTAGCTCAGGTGCAAATCCAACATTTCATCGGTCTCCTCTCCCAAGGTTGGCTTGTAGCAAAACACCTCAGTCAATGCACTAGACTAGTGGCCTCAACCTTCAAGACAATATTGTTTGTCTTCAACCATTGAATTGAGATAATGGTCCTTGCATGAGCTCAACAAGCTCACCGTTGACGTTTGAAAGCTTCAAGGCACTCTCTCATGCTCCTCTGCCCAAATGTGCGGGTCCAGCTCGAGCTTTTCTGGGCGGCCGGGTTCCTGCGAGCACTGCGAGCAAGAAGTGGTCAGGTTGTGGCGTTGAAACTAGACAGCTGTACCACTAAGAAGCTTGATTGTATGGAAGCAGTAGGTTGGACTTGAAAATTGTCACGCGTAGATACTGTATCCACTTGCACAAATCACTTCAAATCATCCATCCGGGCCTTGGCCATGTCAACAAAGCAGCTGGTCCGTCTCATGGGACGCTTGGGTGAAAGGACTAATTCCTCAAAGTCGTCATGGTCCACGGTGTCGCGGCCAAGCTGTTTGGCCATGTCCACGGGCTGTGGCACACGTGGCGCCACAGCCCGCCGATCGTCGGAGAGGAGCAGGACATCGCCCTCCACCTGTACGACGTGACCGGACTCAGAGTCGAGGCCAAGTCTGTCGACAGCCCCAAAACGACGAGATCCACGGTCACAGCTTCGAGTTTCGGACGGCACCGTGCGCATCTGCGCGCGCCTCCTCTTGCTCTTCCGCCTGTGGCCGTCCTGGTCCTTTAGAAAAATCCACCTCTGGGGCTCGGTCTTTGACGAGCTCCAAGTCCTTGGGGAAGCTGCAAAAAACTAAAGAAAGATCTTAGTCTAAAAAAGAAAGTCCTTCTTTTTTCTCTTCTTAGAAGGCTCTTGTCTTTTCATTCTTCGACCTTTGGACCCTCCTTTCTTTCCCTCCCTGTCTGGACTTAAATCAAACTCAAGCCTGTTCACTTGCATTCGTCATGTGTCATATGTTCTCACAAATATCAACAAAATCAAGAGCGCTTCCTTGGAGCTATCCGATTATCGGAGCGCAGAACAAAACTTCTATTGTTGCTTTTCCTTGCATGATCTACTTGGTGGTCTCTGAGTGGGTTTTAGGATGCAAGGAAAAGTGTTTGGCCTTCAGGCACAGAATCTGGAAGAGAGTAGGAGAGCCGCAAACTTGGCCGAGTGCGACAGAAATGCCTCACTCCAAGCCAGCGCCAGTACTTCTCCTTCTCCTGGAAAGCCATGCTTTGATCGAGTTGATAAGATATGGAAACCATGATCTTCTGAAACTGATTAGGTGATTTGAACCTTCCAGGCCCTCAGACCCTTATGTCACCTCGCTCGCCCATTTCCACTCCTGCCATTCGTCGAACTCCAAGTTCCGTGCAAAGTTCCGGCCCATGGGCTCGTCCAACTTCGGACTGGGCAAACCGAAGGAAATTAAATTATCATTGCACTTCGCTTCGGGCAAAATGGTTTTTTGCTTAGTCTTGCTTATCTACCTCACACATAGACGTTCAACTGATGCAGCCAGCCCACAGGTATAAGCGCCAAATGTCTTCTGCAGACCAGCTCCGTCTCAGAGTGCGATGGGGCGGTTGGATAAACCTCAGATACTTATGGGGTGCAGGTCCAAACAGGTCCATCGGGATGGGGTGGAAGTGTTTTGCAAATTGAAATTACGAGAGAGTCGCGCAACACAAAGAAAGACTATAAAAAGTACCGGCATCTTGAAAGAATCCGATCGTTTCCAATCGCAGCAAGGCAGCTGAAGAGAACATTCCAACATTCATCGGGAAATGATATTTCATGAAACACTATCAAGCCACAAGCCATCCACTTGTTTGTCTGAGCCACGCCCGCTGTCTGCAACGTCGGAGCGCCAAATCGTCTTCGCTACCCAGCAGTTGTCGACCATCCAAGCGCAGCCGGCCAAAGCGAGTGTAGTGCTGCAGGGACAGAGATGGACAAAGCGTCCAGCGATTTGACTAAGTGAAAAACTGTGGAGAAGCAAGGGACAAAAACGAAGAGAAGCAGAAACATTGTGGAGAAAACATAAAGAACAGCGAGGGCTTCGATAGACGGATCGACCCAATGTGTACGTGCTTGTCAAATATGTACTGTATATATGTATGTAGATATACAGTATTACGGTAGAATCCTGTCTCATCGCACAATCTCGCAGTTGATATTGCAGAATGTTTAGCACTATGCTCATGGATCCAACTCAGTGGTGGACTCAAGGCATGCGACGTGAAATTGTTTCGCACCCAGTCATCCCGACCAGCCCATCGCTACCTTGAAGAGACCCAGCAAATGCTCAGGAAGTCCTTCCCGTCTCGGATGCCAAGAAAGCACCTGGGACTGGGCTTTCGCCCTTGCAAATCTGCTCACTGTCCATGCTTTCCCGAAGCTCAAGGCGCAAGTCAGAAGATTGACTTGCAGACAATCGATACAGGGAGGGAATGAAGACTGGAGAGCCACAGAGCTATCCTGGCTATCTTCCTTCAGCTTTGCCAAGACACCATCCGATCTGGCCGAATGCGCTGCAGGATTTGATCATCCTCTGAATACGCACCAGGTCCGAGTTTGGCGCCTGCGACGAACATGGCAAATCAAACTTGAGCCATGGCAGCCATCCTGCATCTTAGGGTTTGCAAGAAACGAAGGAGCTCAGCACTTCAGTATCTAGTGAATCTAGTGCGTGCTAAAGGTGCTCTGAGCCCTGATCGTGTGACAAGAACCGACGATGACAATCCGTATATCAAAGAAGCGTGCGATCAACGCCTGTTCCAGCTGCAGGCGCTCGGTGCTTCAAGAGTTGATGAGCATGCAAAGCTTCCGGACTTTCCTGCCCATGCAGAACTAGATACAAGACAGAGAAATATGGTTTTAAAAAATGAACATACCTCACTCTGTCGCTCTCTTCTGAAACTCCTCCGGCAGAATCAGTGCTGCAGGGATCTTGGGTTCGATGCCCGTGAAGTTTACGTCCAGGGCTTCGTAGCTGAAGATCTCGGATTTCAGTGACCGAAAGTCAGCAGGAGAAAATGGCATAGCTATGCATAGCTCAATCTTTTAAGGTGTTTTCAGATCTTTCGTTCTGGCTGCGGCTGTGACAATCGTCTTTCTGTACTTCAGAAAAACAAGGCCGCTAAGATGCATAGTCCGGGCGCCGCTGGTGCTCCATTACTTCAGGGCCTCAGTATCAGATAAAGAAGGAAAGCCATGAAGGAACACTTATTCAGACATCATAGGCTTTCAAGTAAGTTCACACAATAGAGCTAAGCCATTGCAAAAGAAAGGTTTCAACTAAAAATTGACAAATATGCTGAAACAAGTAATGGTTGGCGTGAAAGCCCGAAGTTTGCAAGAACCGCCCTCGGGTAGACATGAGCCTGGCAACGGGCACAACTCACAGATACTCACGGCTTGCATTCGATTGGCTGCTGCCGTTCTACTGGAATGTGCAATGCTCAGATGCATCCCTCCCCTCCTCAGATGCTCGCAAGTCGTACTGGGCAGGTCCAGGTGCCTGAGTGGAACATGGTAAACCAAAGAATCACGAGCCTGGTCTCTCTTGAGTTGGTTTGAGACGCTATTGCGTGCCGTACCGTGGCGTGCCGTGCAGTGGCATGCCGTGCGTGGGTGTGTGGGTGTGTGTGGGTGTATGTGTGTGTATATGTGCGTGTGTGCGTGTGTGTATGTGTGCGTGTGTGTGTGTGGGTGTGTGTGTGGGTGTGGGTGTGTGGGTGTGTGGGTTTGTGTGGGTGTGTGGGTGTGTGTGGGTGTGTGGGTCCGTGTGAAAATCAAAGCAAAAGGTTTGTATATAAGAAAGAACTTGTCCCGCCTGAAAGATCCTGGTACGGTCAAAACATTCAAGTCCCCGGCCTCCTCTTTGATTAGCTGTGTCTCTCCAGGCGGCGCTATAACTGCTGAAGGGCCGCCTCGCAAGAGAAACGCGTTCAATGGAAACTAGATTCGAGACCAAGCCTGAGGAAAATCGTCAGCATCTTGGAGACATGCTTACAAGCTATCTTGGATTCACCCAATCACTGATATCTTGGACACCCCTCATTACCTTATTGTACCTCATCACTTGTCCAACTGCTCAAAGCCGCCTGGAAACGAAGGAAGATCGTAGTCTCCAGGTGCAGGATCTGCACTCTTCTCCAACCGCTCTAATCTTCCAGTCTCAACGACTGGGATCTTCACCTCCTCACTCGAATCACTCGAATCGGCTCCAGACCGAATGGCAACTTCCCTCTCGTCTCACAAAGAAGCATACAAAACCGGCTTGGGAGGAAAGAGCCATCCGTATCACTGTGAACTTCAAGAAGCGAACCTCGTGTCTGGCCAGGGTATGAACATAACATGTAACATAACTGGATAACATACAAAGAACAAAAAAAACACAGCCCTCACCTCTTCCTCCGCCACCAGCAACTCCTGCTCTTTCGTCAGCTGCGGGCCAAGGGGTCGTGCTGCCGCGGCAATGGCATCAAGCTGAGATGCGGTGGGTCCTAAAACGTCAAACTCCATTGAGTAACAATGTTCGCTACTAGTAACAAGGTGCATCGCTACTAGTAACAAGGGCGCTACTAGTAGCGCCTGGCATTACTACTAGCTGGCGTTTCCAGAGAAGCGTCAAACAACCTGTTCAGACTGGATCTGCTCGATCGAAATACTTTTGTGAAGCCCTCCTCCTTCCAAATAGCAACACTACTCTACTCACCCTTGACTTTTCTGACGCATCTGGAGCTACCAGTACATATGCAAGCTATCTTCCACTTGACGTTCTCATGGAGGGAGCTTCACTGTCACCACGCCGAGTCTCTTCTGGGACGTGTCGTATGCATTGGCAAAATCTTCCCACCTCGACATGTGAAGCCTGGGCGATTCCACAGTACAAGCCAGTTTCACCAAACAACGATGCTGCGCTGTGCCGATCAAAAGGGCCCTGGACCCCAACCCCGAAAGGTGCACCTATTGTTTGTTTTGCAAGACTCTCCACATCAATTGAAAGTTTTGCCACATCTTCAGCCAAGAAGCTTTCTGGTGCTGTTGACAACGCAGATTCCGTTCCTCTGCTTCCCATCTCACTTGTCTCGGCCCTCTCTTCCTGCATAGTCCCAGTCACTCGTCCAGAATGGACTGACGCTAGGCTCATGCCACATGGATTCCCACATCACAAGTGACTGCAAAGGCAGAATGCCTGGTGATACTAAGAGCTCACGGTTGTCTCTGGTTGTGATTTCAGTGTCCAGTCTTTGGCAGGTCCTGTAAAAGCCCTCTCAAGTCACCCTCCCTTAAGCCTCTTGTGGCACCTCTCTAGCGCTATAGCGCCCGAAGCTTGGCGCCCCTTTGGCAAGACTCGGCCGGAGCACTTCATAGTTCCTTGGGCAAAGGATGAAGCTACATGAACCATTCGTCTGCACATCGCATGGAAAGGGTTTGGGCCAAGCAAGAAGGCAAGTCATGGAGCAGTGAAGTATTTCTGACGCCAAGTTTACTGCCAAGTTTTCAGATTCCCTTCTTCTCTTTGCAAGAATCGGGCTGTAACTGCCTGGGCCAGGTGAAGACGTCGCAGTGGAGGTAGCTGAGGAAACTGAGAGAAGCCTGGGACGCCAATCACCTCTCCAAAACGGAAAAATCATGGAGTAAGGAACTCGCATTGAGATGTGATAGCAAAATTGACAAACAAATAGACAAATACAGTAGAAAGTCCTTAGAAAATGCATGGTCCAAGCAAGGTAGCTCCGGAAGTTCACTGCCAGCATCAGTGGAGGCATCGGCGTCGAAGTCAAAGGCATCCTCGTTGTCATGCTCTTCACGCAGCAAAGCCTCAGTGGAGATGCTATGTTACGAGTGCTACGTGGTGCATGCCTTATCGTCCTCACAATGGGTTGTGATACGTTGGGATGATGTTGAGCAGGAGTTGCCTTTTGCACCTTCAGGGGCCGCTGGCATCTCCTGTCAGTGTGCAATGTTCGTTTCCTTCAAGCCGTGACACCTTCCAGGCCGCTGTGAGGCCCAAAAGTCCCGGCTGCGAGGCCAAGATGGCAGTCGCCTCCTAGAATTACTCTCCGAAAGATGGAAAAGGCTGGACGGGATGAAGTTTGGAAACGAACTATCAAAAAAAACGAGAACCCATTGCCAACAAGGAGTGGGGAACTGCCAACATTCAGTTTTTGGTGGTCATCCCAAAGGCTCAGGAACGTCGAAACAGAACAAAATTCAAATTGTCACTCAAGGAAAGGAGTCATGCATGAGAACATGCATCTCATGGCATAGCAGAAACCGTTGAAAGTATTCAACTGAGATGTTTTTGTTTTTTTTTGCCACCCTAACGGCCTTTCATATCAGAAGCCAGCAAAAAAAATATAAGTCATGTTCATGTTGTGATTACAATCATGTTGATATGATGCCTTTTTCATGTGCAATTATGCTATTTTGCGAATTTTTTCCTGCATCCAAAAGGGTTGCGTCACGGTGAGAAAGTGACAGCAATATTTCACAATCACACCTATGGTCTGCACTGCAAATTCTACAAGTAGTTTTTTTTTTGGCTCACTCTGCCGCTGTCATACATCTTTTCCACCCCTTTTTCTGCAAGGAACAGGGTTCTCATAGTCGAGCATATCTACTTGTTGAAATTGTCCTCTTCCTTCTAATACACAACGTCTTGTTGATCTTCACCTCAAGTCGACCACGTAGTGCATCTCTCTGTTTTTCTTCATATTCCATGCTGCTCACATACTCTGCATGTCCTGTTCTGAATGATCTTGACCCCACATTGTGTCCATGATACCGTCCTCTTGTCGACCTCACGTCTCCTAAGCTCCTTCTGGCCAACTAATTTCCTGCATTTGTCTCTGAGATCATATCATGGCTTTGTCTGTGTAGAGAACCTGGCTCTAGTTCTTCTACAAAACCTACATTGAGAATCAATCCACAATAAATTCTCCTGGTATCGCTTCTGAGATGTTCTACCTGTTGTTCATCTTCCTCTCTCCTGTCGAAGATATTCGAGCTCTACCATCCTGATCTCGCATTCATTCACCTTTCCACAAAGGAACTTTCTTTGCGCTTCTAATCGATCTTCCACATACTTCCATAGTCTCCACATTGCAAAGGTCATTGCTGCAAAACCGACGATAATGATCATGACGATCGTGAGTTTCCCATGTCTATTGGAGTCTTCGGCTTCCAACTTCAATCTCTTTCATGAAGGTAATTGCTTCTGTAACCATTGGCTGCGTGCCCTCAAAAACTCATCCTCGCATTTTTGTGGACCTTGCCTGCAAAATTCTTTTTCTCCTCGTACACCTTTCTCACAAGCTCACCTGCTCTTGTTTGCTCTTCATTGCGCCAGTAACCTTGTTGAGAAATCTGATTCCCTGGCCTCCAACTGGCTTGGTACTGATGTCTGCCATGTTGTTGTCTGTTGGTACTTGTACGATATTGAAGTCTTTTCAGTTCTGAATCCACAGTAACTTTCCATCCAGCTCCTCTCTATCACAAGCTGGCGCGCACTCGAAGAATCTACGAAGACGTAATGATCCACCTTTGTCCCAAGCGCAAACTCTAGAACTGAACGAATGTATATACCATCTGAAGCTGAGGAAGTTATTGCACGCAACCCTGCTTCAAATAAAGATAAGACAATGATCTTCTGTGATCTGCTGCTGTTGAACAATGGACAACTGTTCAATGCATGGAATCCTCCTGACGTTGACTTTCTATGGCTTTTGCTCCCGCTCCAGTCTAAATTTGAAAATGTCTAGAGACGTTTGAAAATGTCTCTAGGCACCAAAAATGTTCATGTTTCTTCACTTAGCCTTCTCCGACCTGTGGAAACTCAGCTTCTAGACAATAATCCATAGTCTTCTTCAAGTATCTTAAAAAGCTTCTTCAAGTGATGAAAGGACATAGTTGTTGGTTCTGACATTCTTGAAGCCAATTCCTTGAGAGCAAGCGCCACATCGTACTGAACCAACGATACTTCTGCATAGGCTAATCTTCTCTTGATCATTCAAGATCTCTGACTTGCCCTCCATCTGAATGGGGTTGTCTGATGCTAGTTGTTGAAGTTTGACCTTTCCAACTTGTTCTTCATATGCCCTCAGCATCTGTTGAATGTAGTTACCTGGTTGGATCCAGGGTCCATCTTTCTCAAGTTTGCATTTTCTCCTCATGAAGTTGAACTCGTCAGCCATCTGCTCACACTGGTGACAAATCTGTCTTGAATCTTTGGAAGAATGATTTCATTGATGTACTTTGAACAATCTGTGAAAATCAAATCATCCACATGAATCACAAGGATGCTCATTTTAACGTCTTCCTAGGTGTGGACACTCAGCACGGAACTTGTAATTGAATTCCTCGGTGAGGTACCCTGCGAAGAAGTCAGCCAACGCTTTTGCTCCAACTCTCTGTCCAGGTAAGTTCTCTTCACCAAGAATTCTTCTCCTCTCAAAATCACTTTCAAAGGTTTCTCCTGTGGAACTTGCACGAACGCGTCTTCACATCTAGACAACCTAGCGCTCTAACATTTGGGAAAATGCTCCTTCTCCCTCTCTTGCTTCTTCCTCTTCACTAACTCTCTGCAAGAAGATTGTGGGTAGAACTTTCAGTGCTGAAGTCGCCGGCGAGAAAATGTAATCTCTCTTTTGCTGCAGTGAGAGCAAATTCTCGCGCAACTAGCCTTGGTCTTCTCTTCCACCTCTTGCTTGTTGTTCCACCTCCATGGTGATCAGGTTTCTTTCTCCAATCATACACATTGCGTGTAGTCTGATACTCTTTGCGCTACCTTCTGGTCTCTCTAGCCCTTGCATCTTCTGGAGTCCCTTCTCTTCAACTTCATCAGCTACACGATCTATCCATTCTTCTGGGTCTTCTTCTGGGTCGTGTTCTCCATCACGCCACAAGGGTTCAGGTCCATTTAGTCCTTCCTCTTCGCTTTCTGCAACTGGGGATAGCTCTTCATCTACATGACAGACGTCTTCTCCTGATGCCACTTTTACCACGTTGATCTTGGCCTTCTTGCTTGGATCTTCTGATGGCTTAAGCTTCTTCCTAGGGCTCTCTTCTGCAAGCAATCCACATGCTTCCCTTGATCTCGAATCTGCGGACGGCAACCTCAACAAAGATAGCGTAGGAGTAACTGGGTTGGGTTCACCTGTAGTTGGCAACGGTGTGGATTGAAATATTTTCACATCTACAAGTGTCTTCTCGTCTGCAAAGAGAACTTTCTGCTCCTTACTTGGGTTCTTCTCCACTTGGCTTTCTCACGTCGCCTCCATCTCCTTTTTGCTTCTCCCATGGGTCCTTGGGAATAGTGGTTCCTCTTTCTCTGAGTCACTTCCTACTTCAAGAGCCCTTTGCCATAACTGCTTCTGCGTCTTCATCCTTGAATTTCAACGTCACACGCTCTCAAGGAATGTTTGTCTGCGCTACTGGCAATGCTTCTGCCCTTCTCTTGGTAGCAATGGTTCTGCCTCCAAAGTTTGTCTGGCGCTCCCATGAATAAGCATTGCCAAGAAAAAGCTTAGACGCCATCGAGCTTCTCCTTTCTTGAACCTCCTGATGTAACCATGAACTGCCTCACCATACTCAGCTCAAAGCTCTTTGTAACTCTTACCATACACGAGCTCATATGGAGCGGCGCCTTTGACTGGTACACCCAACCGGCGCGTCTTGCTGCCCAAGTCCAAAGTGCATGGTCTGATCCTGTCTTGACGCCAACCTTCGGTCGCAAGCCTTAAATGAAACTTCCTACAAGCTTCCTCAACCTGTCAACGGTGTTCTCTGACAGAAATGAGTGGTCTCCCAATATTGAAGGAGTCAATCTGTCATAAGTCCTAGACTGTGACGAGCATTGATCAGCATCTTTAGGGTCTGTCTGGTTGTGGGTTCATTGTCACTCCTACAGCTGATTGCTGAATACCCCAACGTCTGATCAACCTGCGCACAAAGAGACGAAATTGATTCTTGCTTCCTAATGGCACAACATGAGTGTATCCAGTCTGGCCATCGATTGCAACTAGCCAACATACTCCTCTTGCTGACTTTGTTTCTGAATCTCTCGCTCTAGTGCAGCGAAAACCAAAGCTCGCTTCAGGGATACTCCCCCACTTCGTTCCATCTGTTCTCTCATGGCGATCTGGACGCGCTCGATGCTCAATGCACTCCTTACACCAATTCTCATATGCTAGATGCGTCAGTCTGTGTCTTGCCTGAGTGACTTCATCTGCAATCTTAGCCACACTTTGTTGTAGTGCTTCTCTAGTCTCCTGAGCTTTGGCTTCACTCACCAGTCTTTTGGCGTTCGAATGTTCCATCTTCTTGTTGCGGTTGAAGATCTTTGCGTAGACTTCAACTTAGAGCCGCTACCTGAGATGCCACGCTGCCCTCAATGTCGCTGAAGTAGAATCCTCAGGCAACTCTACTCCATTCACCAGGATCTTGTCCACGTCCATGGGGCTCAGTTGCAACTTCTGGCGGCGCTGGCTCGTAGCTGAAGATTGTGATTGAAGGCGTGACTGCATCATCATCATCATAATCATCATCATCATCATCATCATCAAAGAACTGCTCATCAAGTTCCTCTTTCTTCATCACACTTTGACAATATTCAGGCATAAGCAATCGGCCTCCTCTTTTCACCACTGTGGTTCTCATCAGCTCTGGTGAATCTTCCACTTCTGGGCTGAATGTGGAATCAACAAATTTGAAGTCAATAAGCTTCCAACGAGCTAGCCATGTTCATTGAACTTCCAACCTGGCAATTGCGCCTCAAAGCAGCTTTCATCTTTGTCTCGAATGACTCTAATACGCCCTTCCACTGTCAAAGAGCGATTCTGCAAGTGCCTTCAAGTCACCATTCTCCAAACATTGGGCTCTCTCTCGACCACTGACTCCCCAACCATATTCCATCAGTCTTCCATAGCAAAGTATGGGCTGATTTACAATTGAACTGAAGATTACATTCTCTTTGGAAGCGCTTCACGTCCATCAATGTCATGCCATGCAAGGAGATCTCAACGCTTTTCGCACCCCCGGTCAGGTTACAATTCCCCACCGCATTTTGCAATTTGGTCGCTGAATTGAACTCCAGCTCTCCTCATGCATGATCTGCCATATTCAAAAGGAAGAAAGCTACATCTGCTCCACTATCGATAACGATGGCCATATCATCTCTTTCTTCCCCAAATCTTCTTACCTTGGGTCTGTCGTCTTCCATCTCTTCACAACTTTCCTTCCATGGCTCGTCATCGTCATCTCCAATGTAGACGTGAATCACTCGACTTCCATGATCTTCTGCGTCATCATGCCTCTCTCATAGGTCACAGATGACTGGCTCACAGTTCTCGATCCTTCTGACAACTGGACTTGTCTTTGCTGAGCTACTCTGCTGACTCACATTGGCTCGCTGTTGACCAACTGTATGAGTAGTCACTGAAGCTCCTCCTGAAGATGAGTGGGCTGTATCACTTGCAACCTGTCGAACATTGTTTCTCCAACAGCGTCAAGCAAGATGTCCGGGCTTCCCACAAGTGTCCACACCTTTTCCTTTCTGGTTTTTGTGCTTACCTTTGCCCTTGCGATCACCTTCCTTTCCTTTCTGTTGCTCTCCTCTTCCTTTCTTTTCCTTGCCTTTGGCATCCTTACCTTTGCCCTTCTGGTAGTCATTCTTGCCTTTCTTGTTTGGCATCTTGAACTCGATCAACGTCCATTGGTCCATAGGCATGGGTCCTTGATAGTCTGTGCTGCTACTTGCCACCATTGAAGTAGCCCATTTCTGCTGAGAACGATCTGATTGCAACACTAGCTCCCTCAAAGTTGAGTATTGAACATTGTCGCCAATTGTCAAAGTCAAGCAAGACTTGAGCTGCCCACCTACACATCTCAAAGAAAAGCAGCTTTCAACTCTTCTTGAATTCTTGTTCCTGGTGTGACCGTCTCATCAAAAACTTCTTCAAGCTTAAGAAGCTGGCCGTGTAGTGGCTGCTCCCAAACGTGCTAGTCCTCTAGCCTTCGAAGTGGGCTTCAAAGCTTTGTTCAAACTCCTCCACGCATCAAATCCCTTGGGGCCCCCAACAGCTTTAACCAAGTGTAGTGCCCTGCTCCTCATCAACGAAGCTTGATGCGCCTGACTTTCTCTTCTCCAGTTGCCACGTCCATGTCAAAGCTCTCGTTTGGCTTGTCATCAATCTCTTTCAAGTCCTTCATGTAAGCCTCATCCACTGGGCTTGAGTACTTTTCAAAGACCAGTGACCACTCTCTGGACGCTCTTATCTCTTCTTCTTGTCATTTGTGATGAAATAAGTTGGGCTTTGCGATCAGCCTCGACCAATCACTTGTTGTTGTTGTTGTCGTTGTTGTTGTTGCTGGTGTTGGTGGTGTTGTTGTTGTTGTTGTTGTTGCTCTTGTTGTTGCTTTCTTGTCTTCAACTGTTTTCTTCACTGCCTCTGCTGCTGATGCTGTTGCTTGCGTGCTTCTGGCTACGACTTCAAGGATTTCTCTTATCTCCTCCTTCGTTCCCGAACAATATTGTCCTTCTGGCACTATGTACGGGGTACAGAGTGCAGCTCACCACAGCTTGTCACCAGTTCAGCAGCTTGGTTTCCAAAGGCCCCAAGCCTATGGCTCAAAACGCTCACGGATCACAGTGACTTAAGGGCTCTTCTCTGAAGCTCAGAGGGGTTGCCCTTATCCATCCTTGCTCCGCTACCATGCGAACTTTTTCCTGCATCCAAAAGGGCTGCGTCGTGGTGAGAAAGTGACAGCAATACTTCACGATCACACCTATGGTCTATACTGCAAATTCTACACATATTTACATATAGACACAAAATCCCTTGGGGGCCGCCTAATAAGTCAGAGGCAAAAGTACACCTTTTTGAGGTCTCCTCCGAAGCCACATGGAAACTGTGAATTTGAGAGGTATCCTTTTTCCCACAAATTGATCATCAAATCTCATCAAACTTCTTGGCACCCAGCGAAAGAGGAGCTTTTTCTTTACACAAACGGTTTCGGCTACCGTATACGGTTCCCGTAACATGGCGACTAGGTGACTCAGTGACTCCACTCGACCGCAGTGGGCGCACCTTGCAATGGCTCTGTGCAGCCACCCCTTCGAGCCAACGCTTGGCCTCCCACATCTGCCGCGGCTTCACCGCTTCACTGTGCATCACCGCACCTTCGGAAATACGAAGGAAGAGACGAAACGAAAAGAAACTTCACCAAATCATGTCAGAGTGCCCTGGAAGGAAAGATGTGGTTCAAGGATGTTCAAGGCATGGTAAGAAAAAGGACCGCGCCTTTGGCCACGGTTGTGGTGGAAAGGAAGTCATCCACAGGATTCAGCAAGAAGTCCCCCTCAGCCTCTTCAGCTGCACTTGAGGCTTGCTCTGTGAAGAAAAATACATGCCAAGTAAGAAAGAGAGAGAGAGGGAGGCAGAAAAAATGAGATCACATTAAATGGTTTGTTTCCTTTTCTCTGGCCAGGCCCCACATCTAGTCATCCTGTAAAAGCAAAGCCTGGACGCGGCTGAAGCGTGCTGCAGAGCCAAAAGTGGTCGTGGTGCGCTTCTCAGATGCTGCAGGACCTTTAAATCATCGCAACATTCGATTCACCGCTCCGAACACGTTAGAAGTTGTCTTGAAGTTCTTCTGACACATATAGAATTTGCAGCTGCGGTCAACGCACTGATGGTGATGGTCACTCCGATGTCGCTGGGGGCAAAAATGAAAAACATTATTGTGGTTTAAAAGAAGCAAACATGGTGTGTCCTTGTGTTTCTACTCTAAAAATCCAAGATTTGAACAAGCAACAATGAGTAGTTTTTGTGTAGAATCTCAATGTCAATTAATACAACTTGAACCCCAGAACGAATTCTACAACTGAATTGTATTGCCAATTTGGAAACATGCAAATTTTTAGTAGTGTTGGTTAATGAAGCTCTAATGCCTTTGTTGATTCACTTTTGAATTAGCGTTTTAGAGGACATGTTTTTCATTGTAGACTTTTTAAGGTTAATGAAGTTTCAGTATCAAAATAGATGGGAGCTGAACTGTTGAGGCTTTAGCGCAGAAAGTCCAGCGCAAAGAATGTTGTATATACATAGATTTGACAGCAATGTCAATAAACGGACTTTAACGTGATTATTTTTCTTCTAGATGCTTTAGGAAACACATATAGAATATCAACTGTTTCAATAAACAAACTGAAAGGAGGGATAATAGAAACATAATAGTTTCAAAGTGTAGAGTTGTCTATTCTAAGAGTCTATTTTATAGACGTTTTTTTGGTTAGTTTTGCCCCATTGCACCAAAATTAAATATTCAGAAATATGTCATTCGCGACTGGTTGGACTTATAAACATGTTGTAGTGAAACGGTGGTTAACTGTAAAATGCCATACTTATTGTTCCTAAGATGCCTCCATGCTGTATATCACTCCTAAAAAAAAAGAAACATGTACAAAAAGACACAGCAGGCACCAGTGAAATCTTAGGGGCAGGGCTTACCTACCCTTTAGCATGTCATCAGAAAGCCACCTCCTCTTTTCACAGAAGCCTTCTCCCTTTGAAGTTAGTCTTCTCCCTTTTAGTTCATTATATAATACTTTATTTTGAAAGAACACTGCACTTTTGTATTACAAGATTGTGCTAGTGTTTGGTATTAGCTGATTGAAAGTTTAAACAAAAATCGAGGAAATCAGGCCTTGCTTAGTCACGTCTATCAAGAACCTGACAAAATACCAAAAAAGAAATACAAACTGTTCAAAACAAACTGTGTCCGATGGTTCTCAGTTCTCTCGAATTAGTTTCAGACTTGCTCCAGTGTCTTGTTGATGGGGGCTGGTCCCGAGAAGGCCCTTTTCAAGATGTGGCTGAATTGTTTGACTTGCAAAGGATCCATCTTGAGTTGCAAATGCTGACTTCTTCACGTTAAATGGGCAACTGTGCGGTGCAGGTGCGGAACGCATCTTATCCAGTACGGAGCATAACAATTGGCTCTGCACACTCGTGTGTGCTCGCCTGTGTACATGCTGTGTTTTTCCTCCAGCTATGCAGCTATGTCATCCAAATCTATGAATGTGCAGACTCTATATACATGTCTTCTTGACTACACCAACCAACTATTCTGCATATTCAGTCGAGGGCTGTTCTGCTCTAGCGTGCCTGCGTGTTTGGTCGTCGTGCGAGCACGCCTGCGGCATGCAAAGCAACGTTGGAAGGCCAATGGCGGAAGGTTGACGACACAAGGAAAGCAACTTTCTCGGTCGTCCCTTGCGGCGGCAATGACTTCTGGAGTTCTTGTTGAAACTCACAACTGTCTCAACAAGAAAAGTCCCAGGCCTTCATCGAAAAGCTTGAGTCTTGTTGTAGTGTTTGACTGGACTCTCCAGGCTACGATGCTCTGCTATCTTCGAAAAGCTAGCAGAACATAGAAGCTTAGTCGGCCGCTTTTTCCGAATATCTGCGCTTGCGGAACAGCCAATCTTCGACAACCAAAAAGTCCAAGTCAGGCAACTCGTCAAGCATACCTTAGAGAAATCCACTCTTCACAAATCTGGAAGGAGTAAGCAACTGTTTCACGTCTTCTCGGACTCAGCTAAAGCAGAGCTGTCTCGGAGTCAACTTGGAGTCCCAGTTGCGAAGACTTTCCTTCACTGTGTTGACGATGGGCTTCCCCTTGGTATTGAAGCTGGTGTTGATCAATGCTGCCTTAGTCCAGCATTGAAGGCAACACTAGAATCAGCAATAAAACGCATTTCAATCTACAGCTAGTGAAGTCATCTGGAGGAACTACCAGGAACTACTAAGATTATCTAAGATTTCTATTTAGTTTTGTTTTTTGGAATCACAAGCCTCTTGTTTCGCCTCGCTACCAATCCTGTTTGGCGTCCCACGGCCAATAGCAAGGCATGGATCCAGGGTTCGTCAAATCGGCTGACAGATTGATGTCGAGCCGTGCCATCCAAGTGGACCAGTGATGGGAAGCTTTTCTGAATCTCAGGCTTTACACTGGGTGCCATAGTCCTTGGTGACTCGGATTAGCCGGGCACATGTCATTTTTCAACTTTTAAGCCCGCTCCGGCATTCAACTAAGTAAGTTGGTTCCTACATACTGGACGCAGGATAGCTCACGCACTAATCACTTGGCTCCTGGATTAGGGAAAGTTAACTTAAGGCATTTTTCTTCCTGCCAGCTAGCGGCATGAACGGTGATCGAACATCCCGTCCGAACACTTGATTCAGCGCTTCCTGCTGACGAAGTCTGGAATTACTTGATTCTGTGAAAAAAGGAACAAGATGGAGCCCACGAACCCGAATGCAAACACGTTCGAAAAGCTACATATGTCCAAATGACACTCTTGTAGGACACTCTTGTGGGACACTCTTCTGGGTCACTCTTGTAGGAAACTCTTGTGGGACACTCTTACGGGACACTCTTGTGGGACACTCCTCTGGGACACTCTTGTAGGACACTCTTGTGGGTCACTCTTGTGGGAAGCTCTTGCGGGGCACTCTTTTGGGACACTCTTGTAGGACACTCTTGTGGGTCACTCGTGTAGGAAACTCTTGTGGGACACTCTTACGGGACACTGGTCACTCTTACCGGACACTCTTGTAGGACACTCCTGTTGGACACTCTTATGGAGCACTCTTGTGGGACACTCTTACGCGACGCTCTTGTAGGACACTCTTGTGGGACACTCTTACAGGACACTCTTGTGGATCACTCTTATGGGACACTCTTGTAGGACACTCTTGTGGGACACTCTTGTGAGACACTCTTGTAGGAAACTCTTGTGGGACACTCTTGTAGGACACTCTTGTGGGACACTCTTGTAGGACACTCTTGTGGGTCACTCTTATCGGACACTCTTGTAGGACACTCTTGTGGGACACTCTTGTGAGACACTCTTGTAGGAAACTCTGGTGGGACACTCTTGTAGGACACTCTTGTGGGACACTCTTATAGGACACTCTTGTGGGTCACTCTTATGGGACACTCTTGCCGGACACTCTTGTGGGACACTCTTGTGGGACACTCTTATAGGACACTCTTGTGGGACACTCCTGCGGGACACTCTTGTGGGACACTCTGGCGGGAGACTCTTGTGCGTCACTCTTACGGGACACTCTTGTAGGAAACTCTTGCGGGACACTCTTATGGGACACTCTTGTGGGACACTCTTGTTGTGGGACATTCTTGTTGTGGGACGCTCTTCTAGGACACTCTTGTGGGACGCTCTTGTCGCGTCGCTTACCAGCGACACGCCGCGTTTACACCAGCATGTTCCGCGCTCCCCAGTGGCACGGCGCATCGCAAACGCACTTCCCACCAATGCCGCTCAAATCCGCATGGCGCTGCGACATCACGGACGTCATTTCGCCACACGGTCCGCCGCCCACTAGAAGCAAACACATCACACGATACCGCCAATCATCCCGCTCACCAGCGACACGCCGGGTTTACACCAGCATGTTTCGCGCTCCCCAGTGGCACGGCGCCACGCAAAGGCACTTCCCACCAAGGCCGCGCGATTCCGCATGGCACTGCGACATCACGGACGTAATTTCGCCACACGGTCTGCCCACACACACTAGAAGCAAACATATCACACGATACCACCAATCATCCCGCTCACCAGCGACACGCCGCGTTTACGCCAGCATGTTTCGCGCTCCTCAGTGGCACGGTGCCACGCAAACGCACTTTCCACCAACGCCGTGCAAATCCGCAGGGCACAGGCGAGGCTTCGAGTCACCCTTCGAGTCTGCAAAACGAGCGTTTCGCACAAGACTTCCTCCAAAAGTCACGCGTACAGTCTCCAAAACGAGCGCTTCGCACAAGACTTCCTCCAAAAGTCACGCTTCGAGCCTGCAAGTTTTCGTACGAGACTTCCTCCACAAGTCACGTGTTGTACGGTACTTCCTAAAAAACTCACGTGTCAAAGTTTGCAAAACAAGCGTTTCGTACGAGACTTCCTCCAAAAGTCAAGCGGAAACACCCATCGGAGCACACACATCAAGCAGCCCTGCCAAGTAGTTTCGCGATTCCAGCCCCTCCAAACAACACCCGCTCACACGCCAATCCCAATGTCACAGCGACATTCACCTCCACCACAACTCACAACCTCATGATTCCCTGCACCTGCCACGAAACTTTCCGCGTCCACACGTCTAGCGCGCACAAAGTACTGCGCCTGCCACGAAATGTCACCTCCGTCACATCGCAACTTCACAGTTCCCTGCGCCTGCCACGAAGATCGCACTTCCACACCTCAAAACCCGCACAAAGTACTGCGCCTGCCACGAAAAGTGACAATATCATATCATGTGGGCTTCAACAAAATTTGCACCACACCACACGTTTGGAGTGATTTCGACCCGTTCTGAGCACACTCCCATCCACAAAAACTGCCATTTCAGCTGAGACTTGTCACGAAAACAGAGCTTCGATGCAACACCCTGAGACGCAAATCCCAATGGCACAGCCACATCCAACACCCCAAAAACACCACGCAGTGAAATCCTCCTCCACACTTCAACATCTTACATTTCCACACGGTTCCTCGCTACTTCACACGAATCTGACACGTCACGTTTCCATCCGAAACCCTCTCCAAAAGCTTCCCCAATGGCAGCGCCTTAGCACTCTACCACGAACGGTAGCGAACGGTTGCGGACGCTGACACAACACGTTGCGAACAAGATCCCAGACCTGCAGAGTTAAACGAGAACACTTCGCTACGCATTCAGGAAAAAGCAGCAAAGCAAGAGGAGGCAAATAACAAAACGATTTGACGCTGGAGTCACACTTTGCATAAAGAACTTCAGATATTCCCCGTCTCCTCTGCGATCATCGGTGCGACAGGGCGATACCATTGCCTGGCTTTGAGGCGGTTCATACGCTCCTTCATGTCACCATCTGGAACTGCCAGAAGAGAACGGTGGCCCAAGGCCCGGGGGCCAAACTCCTGACGACCTGCAGAGTGTAAAGCGAAGCAATGCGAAGCAATGCGAAGCATGTCCTTTTGTTAGCCCGTGGCCCTGCTTAGTTAATTAAGTATATAGGCACCTACTTGATTAAGTAAGGAAGAAAGCTCCTGGCTAGCGCACACTATCACTAATCATGTTGGTGTCTAGTTGTTTAGACAAACTTAAAAGCCAGGATTTCACATGTTTTTAGCCCGCCCTTAGTCAATTAAGAAGACTCCTACTTACTTAAGTCGGGGCTAGGTAAGCTACTAGCAGGATAGCTCACGCTTCTTTTCATTTAATGGTCCTAGATTTGTAGGAAAAAACGAGAAGGCCACAACTTGTGCCCTTCCAACCTTCCCACAAAACATGCGGAGCAAGCCAGCCTCTGACAACTGCCACAATAGGCTTGTCCGCAGAGTGGTTCCGCTGCCTGCAACAATGGCAAGTCGGGCGCAAACGCCCTTCAAGCTGGAAGACATTGTAGCATATGGCATAGGCAAATTTTACCTTCAAGGTGCAGAGCATATTCTTCGAATTGACTGACTCAGAGTTAACTCTATGGTGGGAAACTGTTTTTCGAAGTTTGTGCCTCCCTTCCTCCCCTCCCAAGGCAGCTCTCCCAGGTTTGTGCCTTCGCCAGACATCCCCACCAGCAAGGAGCTCGGCCAAGTATTCGATGCCTCCCAGCCTCGATAGCCGTTGTGCCCCTCGTTGCCGGGCGTGTCGAATCACCAGCTCCTGATCCCACAAGGGAAAGCCCAGATACTGCAGAGGCTGGCGAACCTTAGGACCACAGATACGGCCTGAGGTACAGTGGTTCAGCGAAAACCTTCCCAGAGCGGCCTAAAAAGCAAATCAATCTCAGTGCTGCCGATTGTGAGAACCACCAATATAAACAGAATGTGTAAACTTGCTCGTTAAACAAACGGTCAGAGCTACATAAAGAAGATTAGTGTACTAAGTCCATGGACTCTTGGCGGTGCCACAGACCATAGAGCTCCCAGGCTCAGGCCACTGTCATTGGGAATAGGAGGCACATAAAACCCCAGTGGTCCAGGTGCCATCTCTCCCAAAGTGATCTTGGTGAAAGCGTCGTAGATGCGCTGGTTTGCCTTCAGAAGCATTCAAGGGCTAAGGTGGTTAAGAGGCGGGAAGGGCCAAAACTTCAAAGAACTATAACTACACTATAGTTCGACAGGTGAACGCATCTTCGTCT